GGTCTGGAAACCAGATTAGTCAATTTCAAATAGGCTAGTTGATGAACATCATTTATTTAGTTTGGTATGGCAAGTTTTCAATGCATGTTGATCATGTCCTGTAGCACCTTTAAGGATACTGTATATATACATTTTTCTGTTTGCTTTGTATTTTTCATTTCTGCAAGAATGTTCAGATGTAGAATGATAACCTGTGTTTCATCACTGCTTTTGAACTGTCAACAAAAAGTTTACAATCACTACCACTATACTTCAGTACTTTTTGTATGTCATACAACAGTAAACATTGTAATGAAAATGTAGCCCTATAGCATCTAGAAGCAGTAAAATATGACAGCTATGGCAAAGGTTGCAGATTGAGTGTTTTTGCCATTTATTAGCAAAAGACAGACAAAAAAAATAAAAAGTTAATGAAACAATCATACCCTGAGTTTTTTATTCTTATAAGGATTTTTAACAATGAAACTTATAAATCATATCTAGAATATCACAGATAGTTATGGAATTTGATGTACTACAGATGAGTCAACAACAATTTTACAAGAACATGAACAATATTACTCATATATTTCAGAAAAATATAAATGATAGAATTAATTTTGATTCCTCATTTAACTTTTCTCATTATATGATTTTTTACCATATGATCTTCATGGAATGAATCTTATGTGATGAACCTTGACAACAATACAACAAAAGAGATCCTCCTGGTTTGATTACAGTATTAAACAATAATATACTGATTATCATTTTTAACTGTGGGCCATTTTAAGTTATATAATATTTTTAATCTACAACAAGTAATCAAAATAAAAGTGGCTTATCTTTTTGTTTTATCTGTGTTACATGTAGAACCATATTAGCTTTTTAAAATATTTCATGATATCAGAACAGATCAGATCTATAAACATGAAAAACACTATATTGCATCTGATGATTATGAAAGGCTTCCGAGTCCATAATTAGTGAACAACTGGAACTCTTGACGTTTCGTAGTTAAGGCTTTTAAGACATGATTGTGTGTGATTTCCTTTGGAGGAACAAGAGGTGGACTACCAGAGGTCTCCTCAGAACTATCTCCCCAGGCCTCACTGTGAGAAGACCGCAGTAGATCCTCCATTAAGTTTAACATTGCCTGAAAATGAAATACCATGGAAAAATCAAGTTAATCAAAAAATTACACATAGAAATGTTATCACAGTTACTGTAGATGCTGATATGAAATTACAATATTTATCTGTAGGATGCAGCTTAGATTACTGTTTAACATCTTTCTCTTTCTAGCCCTAAATATTATTTACAAGGAAATTTGAAAAATACCTAATTTCCAGTAGCTTTTATCATATAAATGAATAATATATAAATCTGTAAAGGTTTCAAAATATGATATAAGTTATAATGAACAAGGTCTAATATTACACTAAAACTCTTCAAAACTACACAATAGACCATACAAACCTTCCACATAGTTGCACGTGCAACATCTGCTCTATATCCAGGTAAAACCTCTTCTGAAGTTTGATTAATTCTTAACTGTGAAGCTAAATGTCCAACCCATTCACATCCATCAACTGTTTCTTGATCCTCCCAAGCCATGAAGACAGACTGCTCCTTCCATGGAGAGGCTGAAAGGATAAAGTTAAATTTTTAAAAAGAAAATAAGATATGAAAATAAGGCATGAAACTGTTCATTATGGAAACCTTATAACAATTATACCTGAAGACTTGTGAGGAGATGTGAGCTCGTTCTCCTCCTCAATTACTGAGACTACATCAATATCTTGGTGAGTAGAACGTGCAAACTGTTGCTCGTTGTTACTTCTTTCTCGTTCTTCTAGATTTCCAATGTCTGTAATTGTGCTAAAGACCTGCTGTTCTAATGGTAAGAAAAGCTTATCTGAAAATAAAAAATGAATATACATTTTAGGAACATGAATATCTAACAAGAAAGGCCAAAAGTCCACAAACCTAAAATTTCAGTTTTGTTTGTTTTTGTTTTCTATATATACATAATTTCATACTTGTATTCCCTCTGAAAACAATGCAAACCTGTTTGAAGTAGAGGTCTAGGCTCTACTGGAGTATAAGCATGACACCTTGCCCATGCAACTATTCTGTTCGTGGTCCACCAATTGCTGCCTTCTATACCACATTCACTTATATGCCTTCTAACTTCCCTTGCCCTCTGAAACTAAAGGAAAACACAGAATATTATCTGATGTGACTGAAGACTGAAGCAAACAGATGAGGATGGAAAAAAATAAGAAAATAAAAAGAGAAGAAAAATTAATCAAATAATTTTTGGGGGTCACCATTCATTTTAAGAGGACTAATTAAAAATTATGTTGTTTTTATGCAAGAAATAATTTACTTGTAAAATTATAATAAACATAAAAATCAAAGTATTTCCATTTATACAAATGAACAATAATGCATGAAAACAAAAAAACTTTTTTTCATCCATTGGCACCAGATACATGCACTGTCCTCTGCTGTTTTGTTTTATTGAATATGTTTGCCCACAGATACCATCTAACGCAATCTCACCTATATACTCTATTTGTTGAACTTTCAAAAGAAATACTACTATCTTTATTGTTAAAATGTATTCTTATTCTTTTTATCATTGAAATATTAGCAATAATTGTAGTAATAAAAAGAAAGAGGGGACCATCTGCCCAGGCATGGGCTTCATTAATCAAAATCAAGTTAATGTTAGTTTCATTCTTATGTATGAATGGGGAAAAAAAAAATGTTTCCTTTGCACTGTAACTGGCGTATTACCGTAAGTGTCTGTTCCAAAATGTTCACTCATTTTAATACATGTTCACTCTATAGGATTCTATAGCCTTTTCTTCATAACGTAACCTTTTCATATGATTTGCAATATCAAAGGAATAACAAGAAAAATGATAAACAAGTGAGATCTGGTAGGACTATCAAATGACTCCTTGGTGATTAATCTGCTGTGAAGTCATTTATGTGCAAACAAAATTAATAGACTAAAATCACAATGGACACTGCATGTATGTACATGCCATCCCAGCTTCAATGAGTTAATTTATCTTCATCTTATCCTCTTACCATAAGCATAAATAACATGATATAAAAATGACACCAACCTCTGCTGCCCTCTGCTTTCCCAGTGGCCAAAGCTTGAACTCTTCTATGGATCCTGCACAGAATGGCAAAATGCATTTACTTATCCACTTGTTTGGAGGAGCCACAAGGGGTATGGCTCTTACCCACAGATTTATACATGCATCAAGAGATCTGCAGGCTTGACACGTGGCCTTAAATTGTCTGCAATAAAAGCAAAAAAAATTCTAATTATTGCCTCAAGTTACTGTTTATAATGAAATAATTATTACTCAGTTATATTAACCCCTTGGATCTGGGTGACGTGACCATCACATCCTGAAAATTTTGGTTTGAGGGCTGGACAATGTGAACATGCTGTCATAGAAAAAATTGGCTCAGGGTCAGGGTGCTAGGAAAAAAGCTGTCATAAGATTTTCGGCTGGAGGCCAAGGTGATGGGATTGACTTAGACAGTGATTAGACTCATTTGGGTTTAAAGAAGTGGCTCTTGCATTATTTCCATTGGTAAAGGAGTGTCGAATATGAGCCATAGCTGGAAGAGTCATACTCATGTTACTGTTATTGCACTGAGAGATGATATGGAGTCTGCATAAGGAAAACATTCCATTACCATCTGGATACTGCATATCAAATGACAAAAAAAAAAGCATATGCAGAAAAAGAGATAATAATATTGCAAAGGGGAGGCAAGGAGTCTTGACACCACACAGGAATATTCATGTGCACCCAGCCCACAAGCCATACACTTGAAAGAGTTACTGATCAAGTAAAACTAATGCCCTGATTTTAGACCATGTGCAGGCAGCAAAGCCCCCTAATCCATTATATCTGTCAGCCTATATGATGTATATTTCACATACACATTTGTAACTACTTAGTATTTTTCCTTTAAATTAATTGTAACAATGAGAAAAGGTAGAGATGAAAGACATTATAAATGTTGCATGCTTATCTTTTCCCCTCTTACTGTTCAGCAACTAAAGAAAATAAGCAGAATCTTGCCTGGATTTCCAAAACAGCCACTTCTTAATAAAGTACATAATTATGTGATGACTGCCACCTGCTATGACTGAAGTAGTTCTTTGCAACATTACTATTATATTTGTAACAATCTACTTGACAGTTCAAGGCACTCGTCCTTAATACCAAATGACTAGCTCTTTTGACAAAATCCATACTTGACAGCTATGAACTCTTGTTTCAGAAAAATCCCAAATTTTATTGAAAAAATAAAAACATTGAGAACTAATGGTCTACATTTGTCTCACAATATAAACCACCCTATTTGCAAAAGACAATTATAAAAACTGTACATCTGCATTCAGCTCTGCCACAGTCAATTTTATTTACTAAATCTGTTTATATCCTAAAAGTGTCTATTGACTTGTATATCAAGTCATGCATAATTTCAAATTCATCACCAAAATTAAGTTTTAATGCCATACCTTATTTGTTCCTCCCACTTCTTTGTTGCATTGACTTCTTGGTCTTCACTAGAGCTTTCTGCAACTTTATCTGGTAAGCCTATAACAGGAGGAACTATTATTTTTCCTGTATCACTCCCTGAAGTTTTTGCTGAAGAACTTTTTAGAGTTGCGGGAATACTTGTGACCTTAGTTGCGACATTGGTGAAAACAGGAGTAGTAGCTGTAACCCCAGCAGTGGTTGTAATACACAATGGCTTTAGCAAAGTTCGAACAGCTGCAGGCGTTACAGATGTAACAACATTACCACGAAAGCAGTTGACACACCTGTTACTTGCTATATTTTTAACTGTGCTTTCCTGTTGAACGCCAGAGTATTCGGGGGGACCCCCAAATGTACATTAAAGTTTTCGCACTTTTGTTTCAAGCCCAACTCTTTTTTTTACTTTTATTTGAAAGTGTGTTTACTTTTTTT